AAATGTTTATTTAAATACATTACAAACAGCATCACCACATTTATTACGTTATTTAGCAGCAGCTGTTATTATTAATCCACGAAAAAAAAATGAAAGAACATTAAAAGAACTTGTTAAAGTTATTCAACAGGTTTGAAAATTTCTTAGAATGAAATCTTTTTTTTGTTCATATTTATTTTCATTTAGGAATCATATGCATTTCGTGATCCAATAACTGAATTTCTTGAATGTCTTTATGTTCATTTTGATTTTGATGGAGCACAAAAGAAATTACGTGATTGTACAGCTGTACTTAATAATGATTTTTTTCTCATTGGTTGTGCTGATGAATTTATGGAAAATGCTCGTTTACTTATATTCGAAACATTTTGTCGTATTCATCATTGTATCACCCTTGAGTAAAATTTAATTTTGTTTTAAATATAATTATTCGTTTTTTTGTGTATTAGTATGTTAGCAGAAAAATTAAATATGGGTATTGAAGAAGCTGAACGTTGGATTGTCAATTTAATTCGTAATGCAAGTTTAGATGCAAAAATTGATTCACAAAAAGGCGTTGTTGTTATGGGTTCACAAGTTTTATCACCATATCAAACAGTTATTGAAAAAACAAAGAATCTATTCAATAGAACACAAACGTTAGCACATAATAGTGAAAAGAAACGAGATACAAATGTAAATACTCAAAAATTTATTTTCTTTTTTGAAAAATATAATATTTTATTTTAGTCAAATTGGAGTAATTATCAAACACAACAATCACAAGCAAGTACTACAGTTGCTCCAGTGGTTGAATAAAAATTAGAATTTTATTATTGTTATTAATAACATCAAAAATATATTTTTGAAACATCTATTATAAGAATAAAAAGAATATACATGTTTAAGTCTTGATTTTTATTTTCGATTTATAGAAATAGTTCACTATCAAGGAGTAGAAAAAGCTAAATTTAGACATTAAAGACATATATATGTTTTTATTAATAAAAGAACAAAAACACCACAACATGATTATAGGAAGATGTGTCGGATACTATAGAAAATTCTCTTTTCTTATTATGTCTTTGATCATTTTCCTCCAGAGAATTTCTCTAATGAATGTTTTGTTTATTTACATATCAATAAATTCAAAATATTTTTGTGTGCATAGTTTTTAGATGTAAATTGAACAAACTATGACAAGTGACACAGTATTTATTAGTGATGATGAAAAAAATCATCGACCAACAACGAGACATTTTGATGTTCTTCATTCTGACGAAGATGATGAAGAGAATCAAATAAGATTATTATCTTCCGATTCAACTGATAATCCGCCTTCATCAACACCACCAACAACAACAAGTAACATTGAAACATTTGATGATAAAGAACTCAATCAATTATATGACGATTGGTTAGAATTTGATACTCAATTACGTGTAATCGAACCTAAACATAAAGAATATGTGCGAAGATTAGATGATGTTGAATCATTAAAAACGAAATATCGTTTAGAATTTGATAAATATAAGAAAAAACTTGATCAATTAAAGAAAGATGTCAATCAATTGAAAAAAGTATATGCTAAAAAAGGTAATATATATTTTAAATTGATTTATATTAGAAATTCTTTTTTTCTAATATTAAGAAGAAGCAACAAAAAAGAATAATTCCAATGTATTAAATGTAAAAACTTCAAAATCAACAACAAATCTTGAACCAAAAAATTCTTCTCAAGATTCATCACATCCATTACCAACAGTTAATTCTTCGCCATCATTGGATAAAATTGTAAATAACTTAACTACACTTCAACGTCTTAATGTCATATCTGAACAAATTAATACAAATGAATTATATTTATCACGAGTATCAGATACATTACCACGTAAAGATCCATATTTAAAAGTAATACTTGGTGGTGTTGATGTTTCAATATTAAATAAAGCAGATAGATGGACATATAAACAAGAATATGAAAAATTTAAATTTATTGTTACATGTATATCATTAGTATCTTCACTTGTCATATGGTCGTTAACATCACGTTATCGAGCATTCGATGCATTATTTCATTTTTTACTTGTTTGGTATTATTGTACATTGACAATACGAGAATCGATTTTAATTGTCAATGGATCAAATATTAATCGTAAATTTCATTAGTTTTACTTTTTGTTAATATATATTTAAATTTATTTTTTATGATTTAGCCTGGTGGCGAGCTCATCATTTTATAGCAACAGTTGCTACAGCTATTTTATTAACGTGGCCAGAATCTCAATCGTATCATGCGTTTCGTACACAATTCTTTGTCTTTTCATTTTTTTTAAGTTTTGTTCAAGTAAATAAATTTTCTCTTCGAATTATTCGAATTTATTGTTTTTTTAATAGGTTCTTCAGTTTTATTATCAACGTGGTTGTCTTTATCGATTACGAGCTTTAGGTGAAACACATGATATGGATATAACTATTGAAGGTTTTCATCGATGGATGTTTCGTAAGTATTGAAAAAAATTTCTATCGTAATTTATTAAACATAAAATGAATTGATTTTAGATGGTTTATCATTTTTGGTACCATTTCTTCTTGTTGGTTATTTATTTCAACTATATAATGCATATACATTATGGCAGTTAGCACATGTATCAACAACACATGAATGGCAAGTAATGGTATTAGCGATCATATTCTTCCTTCTTTTTTTGGGAAATATATTAACAACATTAAGTGTTTTACGTGATAAATTACGTGAAAAAACTCCTCCATCAACATTAAGACAAAAATATCAAAGTTTAAAAACATTTTTATCAACAAATTATCATCGACGATCACGATCGTTTCATCAATTTGGATATCGACAAGAAAAAGAACAGACTGATAATATTGATGTCACATCGAAAAACGATTAATTGTATTTTATTTTTTTTATTTTGAAATGAAAAAAAAAACCCACACACTCGAGAATCACTATTTGAAATAAAAACGAACGAAAAAAAATTAATTTTTATTTATCTTTAAAGATGAAACTATCAATTATTTTACTTAAACAAGTTTCACAATTTCGATTCAGTAATTATATACCAACTCGACGTATTCCAGGAAATATATTGATTGGGTAGGATATTATTTTTTAAAGGAAATTTATCGTATATAATTATCTTTCAAAGGAAACATCGTGTACGACGTGAATTAACTCAAGGTGAAAAACAGGATATGAAACAACGAATTGAAATTGAATTAGAAAATATGGCTCATCTTAGTCGACCATATCTTACTGAAGTAAGATATAAAAAATAAAAGAAAATTATTTTAGTTAATAAAAACTTTCTTTCTAGGCAGAAGATAATCTTTATGAAAATGATCCAATACGTAAAGAACATGAAGAAAAAGTATTGGCATTAAAACGACGCGAAGAAGAAATACCTAAACATATTTATTTAAAACGTGATTTATTAGATCGTGTAGCGTGGTATAAAAAATGGGAATAAACATGTTTATTGTTTAGAAATATATATGAATTTTTTAGTATTATATAGTTGTGTTTCTATTGTTTGTTTTTTTTATTGAAGATTAAAACATATTTAATGTCAAGTGACGACGAGGCCGATGAATCGGTTATTGGAACGAAAGAATAGTGAGTAATGTACTTATATGTAGTTTTGGGGATCTCGAAGAACGAAAGAGCATGTACCACGATAAATAGTTATTAATTTTGTAATATATTTGTTTAGTTGGGATACATTATATGAAGGTGAATTAAATAATTTTAATGAATTTGGTGATGAAGGAGAAATTTGGTATAATAAAATTGAATTTTATCGAAATTTTTCTTATCAAATCATTTTAGGTTTGGTAAAAGTATTTTAAGTAAACTTGTCGATAATGTATGTCAATTAGTAACTGATAAAGAAAACACAACTATCTTAGATATTGGAACAGGTTAAAAAAACATTCATGTCTTCTTTTTTTTTGCATATAAAATAAATATTTAAATAGGCAATGGTCATGTTATTCAACGTTTATTAGCTCGTGGCTATACTCATTTAACTGGAATTGATTATTCAGAAAATTCAATTGATTTAGCTCGTAAACAAATTGGATCAAATGTCAAATTTCAAGTGATTGATATGACTTCATCAGATACATCATCATTACTTGATCATTACGATATTGGAATTGATAAAGGAACATTAGATGCTATTCTTCTATGTGCACCTGATCAACGAAAAGCCAAACGTGATGCTTATATAGATACTGTTTATCAACATATAAAAAATTTCTTATTTATTGTTTCATGTAATTGGACACGAAGTGAATTATTAGAATTTTTTCAACCGAGTATATATTTATTATCATTTTTTTCTTCAAATAATAAATTTCTTTTTGTATTTATAGAATTTTCATTAGAACGTGAGATTGATACACCAACAATGATGTTTGGTGGACGACAAGGAAAAACAGTAACTTTTCTTATTTTAAAAAGAAACAATTGATTTACTGTGATATTTAAAGAAAATAAATAAATTTATTTAAAGCTAAGCTGCTGTTGATATTATTAAATTAGATCGAACAGGCTTATAAGGATCAACGATGAATCTGATTAATGTGTATATAATTGTACAGTAAAAAATAAAACCAACGAAAATAATAATCATCATTTTAATGTATCGAAATCGAAATCGTTTTCGAGATGGATCAATTACTTCTTTTGTCCATGAATTCATCGTCGTATATATGATCTAAAAATCATTTTACAATAGCCATGTGCATTAAAGTGAAAATTTTGTTCTTCAAAAAAACTTTCAAGTTTACATTGCACGTTAAACAAGAAATGCAAATAAAGAACCAGATTATTTTTCTCTACTTTAAAATAACAATTTCATACAATGATGTTGAGTTAAGCAATTTATTTGATTTTATCTAGTTTAAAACGAAATACAACATCAATACTGACAAAAGACAACGTTTATATTGTATGCTTGAATAAATTGAAATGATATACAATTGTTTTTATTTCAATTAAATATAATTGGATCAGTGAATGAAGTATATTCAAGAAGAATACTTTCAATTCTTCTTTCTCTTTCAATATTAATATTGATTGAATAAGGTACTCGTTGATGTCTTTTATGATGTTTAACACAACCGAATAAAATTCGTATTTTCTTATATATCTGTGGTGTAACATAAAGTGATGATAAACTAATAAATAGAAAAGATAGAGACATTAATAGTGAACATACACGATATGCTATCCAATGTAAATAACCAGTAGTAATAAATGTAATTAAAAATAAACTTATTGGAGCACCTAATGTCCATAAAACAATCATAACTGTAC